AAGACAACGTACCCCCCTTCCCCCCAAAAAAAAAAAAAAAAATCCAGGGCCAAAAAAACAAACAAACAAAAAACATAGGATCTTCCCCCCCAAAAAAAGGAAAGGGGGAAGAAAGCAACGGGAAGAAAAAAACGAAAAACTGTAAAATCAATAAATAAACGAAACAGTAGGCGAGTGGCAGAAGGAAGAAAGTGAACGAGAGGGAAGGTCGAGAAAGGCTAGAGGAGGAGGAAGACGATAAGAGGAGAAAGAGGAGAAGAGGAGGAAGACGATAAGAGGGGGAGAGGAGAGGAGGAGGAGGAGGAAGACGAAAAGAGGCGGAGAGGACGAGGAAGACGATGAGGGGAGAAAGAGAGGGCGAGGAGGAGAGGAGGAAGACAATAAGAGGAGGAGAGGAGGAGGAAGATGATGAATGGAGAAAGAGGAGGGGAGGAAGAACAGGAGGAGAGGAGAAAGACGAGGAAGACGATGAGAGGAGAAAGAGAAGGAGAGGAGGAGGAGAAAGACGATAAGAGGAGGAGAGGAGGAAGACGATAAGAGGAGAAAGATGAGGGAGAAGGAGGAGGAAGACAATAAGATAAGAAGAGGAGAAAAACGAGGAAGACGATGAGAGGAGAAGGAGAAGAAGAGGAAGAGGAGGGAGTGGGGGTGGGGGGGGGTGAGAGAACAAGGTCAGGTCCTGAAGAGCAGATATGGATTACCTTTTTTTCCGACAAAGCGCTGCAATTGGGGTGCAAGGGACAGGAAACCGTATTGTTAGTAAGCCTTTGTGTATCTTTTTCTTTATCTTTCTTATATCTATTTTTTTTTCCTCAGTGGACGCACAATGAGAAGGTATTTCAATCAGAGAAAGTCGGCGGATAAGCAGCGAAAGAAGTATTTGATATGATATTTACGTAATGGAGTTTCCCCTCACGCCGCGCCCACTCTCTGGCGTCCGCACCTCCCTCTCTCTCTTTCTCTATCTCTATCTCTATCTCTCTCTGTCTGTCTGTCTCTCTCTCTCTCTCTGTCTCTTTCTCTCTCTCTCTCTCTCTCTCTCTCTCTCTCTCTCTCTCTCTCTCTCTCTCTCTCTCTCTCTCTCTCTCTCCCTTTCTCTTTCTTTATCTTTCTTTATCTCTCTCTCTCTCTCTCTCTCTCTCTCTCTCTCTCTCTCTCTCTCTCTCTCTCTCTCTCTCTCTCTCTCTCTCTCTCGCTTATTCTCTTTCTCTTTTTCTCTTTCCCTCTCGTTTCACCTTTCCCAATCCTCTTTCTATTCCCTTTTCTCTTCCCCCTACCTCTCTCCCCCTTCCTCCTTCTCTTTCCTCTTGTCTCTTCTCCTCCCCTTCCCTTTTTCCCTTCCTCTTTCCCTCTTTCTCTCTCCTCCTTCCACCTCCCTTCCTTTTCCTTTTCTCCCTTCTTTTCCTTCCTCTTCTCCTCCCCCTTTCCCCTTTTCTCTTCTCCTTCTCTTTTCCCTTCTTTTTCCCCCTTCCCTCTTATCCTTCCCTTTCTCTTCCCCTTCTCTTCCCCTTGTCCTTCTCCTTTTCCTTCCACTTCTCTTCCCCTTCCCTCTTTCTCTCTTCCTTCTTCCTCCTTCCCCGCTTCCTCCTTCCTCTTTTCCGCTCTTCCTTCCTCCTCCTTTTCCCTCTTCCCTCCTTCCCCCTTCCCCCTTTCTCTCTTCCTCCTTCCCCCTCTCCTCTCTTCCTCATTTCCGCTCTTCCTTCCTTCTCCTTTCCCCTCTTCCCCCTTCCCCCTTTCCTCTCTTCCTCATTTCCGCTCTTCCTTCCTCCTCCTTTCCCCTCTTCCTCCTTCCTCCTTTCCCCTTTCCCCTTTCCCCTCTTCCTCCTTCCCCCTCTCCTCTCTTCCTCATTTCCGCTCTTCCTTCCTTCTCCTTTCCCCTCTTCCTCCTTCCCCTCTTCCTCCTTCCTCCTTTCCCCTCTTCCTCCTTCCTCCTTTCCCCTCTTCCTCCTTCCCCCTTTCCTCTCTTCATTTCCCCTCTTCCTCCTTCCTCCTTCATGGGCGTGGAATTCATACCTGCTTTTGAAAAACGTGCCAAAAAATGGAAATTGCAGATTAGCTACTCAGGTCATTCTTTCTCTCTCTCTATCTTTCTTTCTTTCTTTCTCTATTTCTTTCTCTCTTTCTCTCTTTCTGTCTCTCTATCTTTCTCTCTATCTTTCTATTTCTCTCTCTTTCTTTCTTTCTTTCTTTCTCTATTTCTTTCTCTCTTTCTCTCTTTCTATCTTTCTATCTCTCTTTCTTTCTTTCTTTCTCTATTTCTTTCTCTCTTTCTCTCTTTCTTTCTCTCTATCTTTCTATCTCTCTCTCTCTCTTTCTTTCTTTCTTTCTTTCATTCTTTCTCTCTATCTTTCTTTCTCCCTTTCTGTCTCTATCTTTCTCTATATCTTTCTATATATCTCTATATATATCTATATCTTTTTTTTCTCTCTTTCTTTCTCTCTTTCTCTCTTTCTGTCTCTCTATCTTTCTCTCTATCTTTCTCTCTTTCTCTCTTTCTTTCTTTCATTCTTTCTCTCTATCTTTCTTTCTCCCTTTCTGTCTCTATCTTTCTATATATCTCTCTATATATTTATATCTCTGTTTCTCTCTTTCTCTCTTTCTTTCTTTCTTTCTCCTTTTTATTACCTCTGAAAACACGCATTAAAGAATTCCAAAAGAAAATGAAGCCGAAACAAAGAGAAAATGTTCCTCGTATAGTGTCAGATTACTTTATGGTTGTTTTTCTTTGTCTTGTTCTCATTTTTGTTTTTTTTATTCTTTTTCATCATATTCTCATTCTCGTTCTCTTCCCTCCTTTTCTTTCTCCTGCTCCTAATCCTGTTTCTCCTCTTTCTACTTCTACATCTCCTTCTTTTCTTCTTCTTCTTCTTCTTCTTCTTCTTCTTCTTCTTCTTCTTCTTCTCCTCCTCCTCCTCCCCTTCCTCCTCCACCCTCCTCCTTCCTCCCTCCTCTTCCTCCTCCTCCCTCCTCCCTCCTCTTCCTCCTCCTCCCTCCTCTTCCTCTTCCTCCTCCTCTTCCCCTTCCTTAAAGCTTGTGAAGAGGTTGTTGCATTTATACGCCAGTGAAGAGTTTATGACCTGAAATAAAGCCACTGAGAAGAAGACGAGGCATTGTGTTAGTTTCAAGTTTCAAACTCCATGTTGCAATGAAGCTGTGGCGGTCGGAAGATAGGGGGGAGGGGGGTGGAGGTGGAAGAGGAGGAGTGGGGGGGAGGGGGGAGGTGGAAGAGGAGGGGGGGGGGGTGCCAGCAGTACTTCCAGAGAGAGATGCCAGGTTTTCGTTGGGTGTACTCTGGTCGTATCGCTGGGAGTGACTGCAGGGGGAGGGGGAGGGGGGTGTATTATGGGTTTTGTTAATGGAGGGTTTGGGTTATGTGTCTGTTTGTTTGTTTGTTTTTTCATTTGTTTAATTATTTATTATTATTATTAATGTTGTTGTAGTTATTATTATTATTATTATTATTGTTCTTATTGCTATTATTGATATTATTATTATTTGTATTTTTATTTTTCATCTTATCCATTTTTTCTTCCACTTTATCTGTCTCTCCTATTATGATCTACTCGTTACGGATTGCGGTCCAGCTGTACCTCAAGTACACTTTGCGGGTCGAGTGTGCTTTGGAAATAGGGGAAAAAAATAGTTTGTTTCCCCTTGATGAGAAAAGCCGTACTTCATTTTTTTTTTTTTTTTTTTTGTAGGTGTACCCTGGATGGACCCGTAGCTGTATCCAAATTGTACCCACAGTATTGTAGCGAAGTTTCCCTTTTCTGGGTTTCTGCATAAATGAAGAGTGAGAGGCTATGGTGAGGATTTGTGAGGTTAACTAGACCATGTGGATTACTTTTTTTTTATTATTCATTTATTTAGTTTTGTTTAGTTGAGGTTTTGAGGGAGGGGGGGGGGGGGGTAGACCTGTTTATTTAATTTTTAATTTTTTGGTTTGAATGTAAAAACGTCGTTGTTGATACTAAATGGACTGTGGGTTACTTTTTGATAATTTTATTCATTTATTTAGTTTAGTTTTGTTTAGTTTAGTTTTTGAGGGAGTTGGACCTTTTTTTTTGGGGGGGGGGGGGGTTGAAGGTAAAACGGTTCGGGTTCGTTACCAGGCGTCGTTGATACTAAATGGAATTCTGTGAAAGCAATCGCCTGCAAATGAGGTCCTTTAGAGTATCACTTTCTTTTCCCGAATAATCTTGCGAAAAAGAAAGGCAAGAGGAGAAAGAGGAGGAATAGAAAGTTGCGAAGAGAATACAGTGTTTCTCTAAGAATGTGTTCTTTAATATATATACATATAAGTATATGTATATAAACACACACACACACACACACACACACACACACACACACACACACACACACACACACACACACACACACACACACACACACAAACACACACACACATATATATATATATGTGTGTGTGTGTGTGTTTGTGATGGTATACACTTATATTTATATATTGTATGTTTCTGCGTGTATATATAAATATTTTTCGAAAATGCCATCGACCAAAAAATTATATATAAATTTAAGAGAAAAAATTGTAAAACAATAAATCGCATTACCTTACCACAGGAAAAGTGAAAATACATCTTCAAGAAGACACTCCCATTTTCCATTGTTGCAAGAAATATTCGCAACTTAGTGTCACGAGAAATCGCAGCGTTCGTGCCAGGTGCCACGAGATCGGCGAATATTTTGTGGAGGCGCCGTAGAGTGAGGGAGCAGTTTGTGGTCGTATCACCCTTTTGCACACGGGCTCCCTGCATGCGAGAGACAGCGCGCGTTGCAGTCGTTGCAGAGGTTTGGCCCTGATGACAAATAGATATTGCAAAGGGGAAGTGCTTTGACGGAAAACCAAAGCTTGGTGGAAAACAATCACTGGCGGAATTGTTCGGTTTTTGAGAGAGAGAGTGGAAGAGAAAGAGATTTCGGAAATAAAAGGAAAGAGAGAGAGAGTAAAAAAAAAAAATAGACGAATGTAAAACACTAGAAATCGTTTAAAAAAAAACGAGAGATAAAAGCGCCTCCTCTCCGATGTGAACCGCCGAGAGCACCCGCCCCCCCGCAACGTCCGCCTCTCTCATGGGCCGGAGGGCGAAGCTCCGACTGACCGCGACGCGACTCTAAAAGGATTCACCGTGGACATCACCGACGCTTCGAGGATCTCTCCGCCGCGAGCAGGAGGAGGCGGAGGAGGAGGAGGAGGATACCAAGGAAGAGGAGGAGGATGGAAGAAGTGGAGTACGGGGGTCATACTCCTTAGCGACGCGGTCACGATGGACGCCGCGACGGACCTCGAGAACAACAACGCCAACCTGGCCGGCGACGGCGGCGTCGACGACGACCTGGCGCCGTCGCACCTCTCGCAGGACCCGGATGACG